TATATATATATATATATATAACAATATTATATATATTGCTTTAGAGAGGTCGCCATCTTGCACCGCCATGTATGTACGGCAGACCGAGCGGACAATCCAGCCGGCCAGAGAACACGTTTCGCGTGTATAAATGAACCAACGAAGACAGCGGAAGGAAGGAAGAAGGAGGAGGAAACAGCAGAGTGTGTTAGTAGTTCGTCGATAGAGAGTAGTGAAAGTTTTTTTAGTTATAAAGTTTGCGAATGGACCACACTTACCACAACAGGAGAGAATGAACCCGAACCGTCATCTGCGAGGAAAAGAAGACGCAACTTCACTCCTTGTGATGCACTCTCTGCGGCACTTTTCCTCCTGATGATATATCTCCCCAGTGATGGCAGCAGTAGCACCGAATCCCATTCTGTGCATTCAGCCTCTCTTCTCACCTGCTCAGCATCAAACACATGGAGTTCCTCATCTGTATGCTCTGGCTCAAACAGGTATGGCTCTGGGTCTGTGTCCGCTACAAGAAACTCTTCAAAATCGCGTTCAAAGTCGTCCATTGCAGCTACTATAGTCCGGAGATATTGCTAGGCTAAATAAACAGCTGAGCTCTGTTTACCGGCTACGCTGTCAGTCAGTGTGCGGGCTGGAGATTGGTGGAGCAGAGAGGGGAGGGGGGTCCCCACTCGTTATGGTAAACGAGTATGTGTGTATGAAGTGTGTCTGTTACGCCAGAAAAGTCAGAGTTTGGGGCGGAGTCTTTTACCCCCTGGAGTGTTACTGGAGTTTTTGGAGTGCTCAAATAAAATGGCCTTTTTCCCGAACGCTCCTCTGGTCTCCTGCTTGTGAGGGATTCATTACAATGTCGTAACATGGTTTAGATTTCTAAATAAATATTCACCTCCTCACTAGATAGACCTACTCCTGAAAAACTCGTTCGCAAGGCTTTTTGTCCCTACGAGGCCACCGTCATTTACCCGACGGTAGGGGTGAGCGAGTGAGCCCTGCAATCTAGAATTTGACCACTGATGTCACTGTTTTCAACCCATTTTACACACTGGCCCTTTAAATACCATTATAACAAATAACATAAATAATATTAGTCTGCACTCCTATTTTAGTTTCTTTACACCATCAGGTTTAGGATTCATTTCAAGATACTTCTACTCACTAATAGAGCCCTCCACAGTCAGGCACCTGAATACATCAGTGATCTCCTCCATCAATATATCGCCAGTAGGTCTCTTAGGTCTTCAGGCAGGACCTACTAGCTGTCCCCTGCTCCAGACTCAAAACAAAGGTGATCGTGCCTTTGAAGTCAAAGGTGATCGTGCCTTTGAAGTCACGCTTTGGGGTTGCATTTTTGATGTATGAAAGGCGCTATATAAATAAAGTTTGATTGATTGATTGATTGATTGAAGTCATCGCTTCAAGGCTATGGAACTCCCCTCCATTAGGTTTACAATTTGCAGTCTTCTTAAAAAAATTTAAATAAACAAAATGCCATTTGTCCCTTCCTAGATTGTCTAGTGCTTGTTCCCTGTTGTATTTCTTTTTGGGTCCTTGCTCTATGTTTTATAGTCTTTTCTTTGACTTTCTTGTTGCTTTGTTTTAATTGTTATATTGCCTTTGTTTTTATTGATTGCATGTTTTATTGTTTGATTATTTCATTGTACTTTGTGAAGCAATTTTATTTCTGTGAAAGGTACCATATCAAATAAATGTATATGTTCATTATTATCATTATTATCTAATCATGCCGTTCAGATTTCTACCACCCCCCAATAATTGATAAATATGTGGCTTTCATTTAAAATAAAAAAAAATCAACCTAGACTCACAAGTCAGTCTTTAGAGATCTCTGATTGTCTGGTGGCGAGACTAATGGTTGACAGACCAGAAACGGTGCCTGCATTTTGCACTGTTTCTGCTGTGTTTAACAGTTGAAGCATTTTGCCGAAAAATGGAGAAGAAAAAGACCCCTGTCAACAATGCAGCAACACCAAGAAAACATCATTTTAGATATAATCAGTGAACATGGTTAGACTACATGTGATGTTAGGTATTGCTTGGTGAGGTGCAAAGAACGTTAACATAATATTAATGTAATTATAATTACATTATCCGATTGCCAGTGAATGTGGTTAGTTGAATGTGGGTCTTTGGTCCCAGGCTCCCTCCAAAAATGCTCATACAATATTTAATAAAAGAAAATCACACAAGTAAAAATGAGAATCTAATACACAACACGAAATAGTGCAGAAATTAAAATGCATGAATGAAATAACATTTAGTTTAGAATAGATAATGTAAATATATATAGACTAGGAAGTTATAAAGTTATAATCATAGGTCTGCATTTCTAAAATCACATTCCCATTTTAATTAAAAAAAACATAAATGCCATATGTTCTTGCTCTTTTGACAGTCAGAATCATGTTTGAGTTTTTTCTTTTTGTTTAACATATCTCAAACTACATTTTATCATGTACGTTTGTATCACCACTATACTTCTTGGTAATGATACAGTAACTATTAATCAGACAATCAGTAACTTATCAATCTGTTAATCAGTAACTATAAGTCAAGGAACATGCTGGTTTTTGATTTGATTTGACTTGAAAACCGTTCATGTTCCCGAAGGGCAATTTGGTTTGCAACAGAAGTAACAACATGCATATCTCGCAACACAATAAATCTTACATAACAATATAAATAATACAATAAATACAGTAAATACAGTCATCACAGTTTAACTGGTGTAACGTTCCCAACAAGCTTGCCTACAGCTTGTTTAAAAACCTAATGGCAGATGGAACAAATGATTTGAGATACCTGTTTGGAAAGTGTACCTTCTCTTAGACAGGAGAAGCTGAAACTCTGCATGAAGAGGATGGAGAGGGTTCGCCAAAATGGCCTTTGCCCTCTGAGTGGCTCTAGCTTGATACAGGCATTCAAGATCATTCAAGCTAATGCCAATTGTTTTTTGGCAAAGTTTGACCACATTCCTCAGCTTGTTCTTATTTGAAATGCTGAGGTTACCAAACCAGCAGATCAAAGCAAAAGTTAAAATGCACTCAATAAAAGATGAATAAAACATTTTAAGAAGCGTTTCATTTAGGTTGAAGGACTTTGCTGATTTTATAACAGTTTAAAGATTACACAAACTTTGAAGAATCACTCATCCAGACTCATGTCAAATCCTCAAAAATCTAATATGAAGAACTTGTTCATTCACGTACAAAGAATGGGGCCCATGTTTATGGAGCAGCTAGAAAAAAAAGGACATATCCCTTAAAGAGAACACTTAAAAAAAGGACAAATTACCAAGAAGACTTGACTTTTCCTTTAGTTTTACTGTATTTTTTACTCTCGAGCCAAAGCAAGCACACAACAAGTAATACAATTAAGATATTGAAGGAATGCATATTAACCCAGTATTAATTCAATAATCATGACTTAAAAGTTGAGACACCAGAATTGTAAAAGTTTACTTAATGACTCAATAAAATATGACAGTCCAGGAAAAAGTCATAATTGAAGAAAAAACGTGTATGATTAAAACCCACTGACAGTATAACTGAATAAGCGTGTAAATAAGTGACTAAATCATTCGAACCTGATAACACATAATAAACTATATTTCTCTCCCTTTCATTTCACACAGTTTTGCAGATTGAGACTGTTGGGAAAAGTTGGGAAATACTTTTATCCAATCCATTCAGTAATCCAGTTATCGCAGCAGATTGTTTTCAATGACATCAGGTGTTTTTTTACTCCTTTTGTTGAGCATATTGTCAGATATGATTTGAGACACATCCACACTAATACGCTTTCATTTTAAGACAGCGCCGTAAAATATAAACAATATCCGTAAACACAAGCATTTTAGCACCATTTTAGAAATAATCTCCGTCAGAGTTGAGAACACACGACCATTCACGTTAACCAGGCATGTACATGTCGATGTAAACAGGAAGCAGATTGTCTACTCTCTGGTTGGTTAGTTATAGATAATACTACAGAGATGACAAAAAGTAAGACCAGAGATTCCTTTGCTTGGACCAACGACAAGGTGAACTGTTACTGAAAGTAACACAGGAGTATAAGGCGGTCAAGAAACCAGATTGGGAGTCATCGTAAAGCAAATACGGTGACGTACTAGAGCGGTACTATCCCTAGAGGAAAGGAATACCAACAAAAGAAGGATTAAATCACAACACACTATTATGTTTTGGTTTCACATGTCATAACTGATAAAACGCTTTCTGGAAGTGAGTGTGAGTGTCTACATCATCATTTTCAAAAGTCTTAATTTCCGCCTGTCCAGACTAATACACAACCCTCGAGTTCTTAAATCTAAATCGGGGTCAGCAGTGTTCAAAGGTCTGGGGGCCTCCCTAGTGTAGTGGTTTGAGCACTCGTCTTCCAGGTCCAGGGTTCGAATCCTGCTGGGGTCGACGTCAGCAAAGGCATGCGGCCGCAAGAGGTTCCCACCACCAAATCAAATGGGAGCAGGTTCCTTAAGGAGGCTGCACAATAAGAGAGTAACTCCGGAAACTGAGCCGAGTCCTCAACGCAGGCGCCTCCCAAGCCCGTTGTAGACGGGAGGTTCCAGATGTAAAAGCAGATTCACTGTTCAAAGGTCTCAGTTCTGAGGGTTGCAAACACCGGAGTAGTGTGAATGCAATTGTTTTGCGTTTTAGAACAAAAACATATCAGTGTGGATGTTAGCGCTGTTTGTTCCCTCAAACATACACAAATAGGTAAGAACCTGTGTTTTATGAACCAAAACACAGTAATGAGTGTTAAGTTTAAGTTTATTTACTTTATTAATCCCCCTGAGGGGAAATTCAATGTTTTCACTCTTGCTTGTCAATTACACACATGCACAAACAGGACCTATACATGCACAAAGTGGAGAGATGTCAGAGTGAGGGGACTGCCCTTGGTGAGGCGCCCCAAGCGGTTGGGGGGTTCGGTGCCTTGCTCAAGGGCACCTTGGCAGTGCCCAGGAGGTGAACTGGCACCTCTCCAGCCACCAGTTCACTCTCCATATTTTGGTCCGGACGGGGACTCGAACAGGCGACCCTCCGGTTCCCAACCCAGGTCCCTATGGACTGAGCTACTGCCGCCGTTACAGAGAAATTAAGCATTCACTGGAGATTTAGGCAATACCTCCCTATGAAAACTGAAGACTTGAAGTAAATGCCTAAAAACATTTGTACATTTGTTCCACAGTAATTACATATTAGTGGTTTGACACTAAGTAGTAGAGACAAACATTTTAAACTGCACACAAGATCAATCATGCAGTAATTAGCACAAAAACATATTTTCTGTTCAATATAGCATTATGTAGGGGTATTATGCGAGCTAGCGAGAAGCCAGCAAATTTGCATAAGTGTTGCGTCATTGCTTTAATGATGTTCAGGGTCAAAAAACCAACTTAATATGTCATGTACTGGACCATAAAGTTGCAATAAGATCCATAAAATTGTTGCGAGTTTAACACATAATAGCAAAAATGTGTTCACTGCAGAGGGTGTACTGTTGTAGATGCTGCATTTCCATTCAGGACGGATCAGGTAACAACATATTTATCCAACCAACTTTAAAGAGGTTCTTTGTTATGTATTTATTTTTAAATCAATAAAATGTGCTTAGTTATATACCAAATATTAAAACCAAAAATAGCTAAAAATTTTGGCCCAGTTAGCACCAGCTTCCTACTTGCCTTGATTTTATTTCTACAGCTCTTTCCCTCTCTGTCTTTGCTCTGACCGATGGTCAATCCAGGCTCCATGGCAGAGAGGAGCTCTCCTTCCCCAGCTCTTTGCGAATGACCGATGTAAATCTGGCCAGTTGCTCTGAGCTGAAATGGTTTTTCCAGTCTCCTGCAATGCCTAATACAAAAACACACACACCAAGACGGTCACATAAACACAACAAATCTCTCATGAAAGAAAATGAACTGTTGGGTAGATAAAGTAAAGTCAAATATTTTTATGGAGACTGAAATCCAATAACATGAGTCTAAGTCCTAGTAATGCAACTTGAACACTGGTGTTGGACTAAATTGACCTGATCAGCTTTCATTCAGGTTGACATTTCAATCCAGTCAGACAGGTAAATGCCACTGACAAAAGCAGAGAAGGTAATGATAAACACACTCAGCCTCACCTTTCCTGAGGAACGGAGATTTGTCTGAGTCCATGTACACCTTAGGGACCAGGCTGAAGTTGGACATGGTGTTGGTCTTCATGGTCTTGAAGGAGCAATGTTCTGCTATCTTCTGAATGTTTTCGTCACTCAGATTACAGCCCAGGAAATCAGACATGTGCTTGAGAGCTCCAGGCAGGTCCTAAAAGAGGGGCACAGCATACTTTAAATGATTACTATCATAGCATGATGATCAGGTCATTAAAATATCATACTGATGCTTTCTGTAAAACACTGACACAGATTTTTTTTAATGCATAAAATATAAGTGGGCTATTGTAGTGTGATGGCTGAGGGAGACATGTCTAGTTACTGATTATACCTTCTTATTCAACAGAACTGCACTGAATACAAAGCAATACGGGTGGGAAATGCATTAAGAAATAACTGCATCTGTGGCACTCATCTGACTTTATCTGCAGTGATACCTTAAAGGTTCAGTGTGTAAGATTTAGGATGATTTAGTGGCACAATGTGCCAGAAATTTACTGTACTTCAAAATAAAGTGTGTTTTTTACAAACGTGACATGTGTTTGAGTCACTTGCGGTCCATTCAGAATGGACCCACGACCCACTTTTGGACCACGACCCACCAATTGGGAACCACTGCCCTAAATCCTACACACTGGATCTTAAACAGACCAGGACAAGACACAAACTTTTTTACACAAAGAAAGAACTAACATATTGTATTACATTTTCCTAATTTAAAACAAGGCACTAATAATTTGCCATAATCAGCGTTTCACAGAGTTTATTAAGTTTCCCTTAACTCCACAACTCACAAAACTGTGTGATTTGTCAGGGAGTCTGCAGACTTCTTGATAAATTTGACATGTCTACTGTCAATAAAGTGGTGTCTTTTTTGATCAATGTAGTGTAATTATGAAAGAGCACAAGCGGGCTGACAGATGTGATGTGTAGCACAACTACATTGGCATCCAGTGTGACATATAACACAAGCATCAGGCAGTGCTTTCTAAACAATAACCATAGCATAACATGACTTTAGCAATCATTTGCACATAACATGTCAGCAAAACGTCACACCCATCCTGTCCTGCCTGCTCACACTTTTTCAACAGACTTCAGTTGCTCTACTGGCTCTACAACCTCCACTGCCAGCTCAAAGGTGAAACAACTCTGTTCCCATTCCTTGTTTGTTGTTGTGTTGTTGTTTTGCCTTTAATACAAATTTGCGAAGCAGAATAACTGCGCAACATTCTGGCCTTGAGCAGGCTATGTAAAAGGGTCTATTGAGACAGCACATTAAGAGCCTGTGAGAGTTCAGGGTAGTGTCTTACCTGAACCATTTCTTCATATGTGATGTACATTATTCTGTCTCCCAGGTCTGTGTCTTTCCAGCCCTTCACATGGTCTGTCCATTTTCCAAACAGCACTGAAGACAACATGGACAACAGACCACAGTATAAATACACACAACCACGGCTCAATAGGGGTGACTTTGTCTTTCTTCTGCTATCAAAATCCAAAATCTGTTCATGTGGTAATACACCAACATGCTGAACCACTCTACTGCTGAAATTCATACATGTTTCAGAGTAAAGTATTTATGTGGTATGACATCTCTGACCTTTGCCCTCTAGGAATTTCTCTATGAATTCATCAAAGGTTCCTGGATCCTCAAGGAATTCAGCCATCTGATGGAAGTAGAATGAAGACACCAGGATGTCCTTAGGGTTCCTCATGACATAGATTACCTGTGGCAAAGAAACATGAGACTTATTCAATAATATGTCAAGTGAAGTGTGTACTAATAATTATAGAAAGAGGCCATGACAAAGATGATGTTAGTTACAGATCAGGGGCCAAATGCATAAAACTGTGTAGATTCATGACTAAACCTGTGTGTATGCACACTCAGATTTATAAAGCCATGCGTACATCTGATCCTGTTTTATAAATCTCAATCACTGTGGCACTTGGCGCACGTGCACAAGCCTCATTTTCCTCACCCACAATTCACCATAAATGGATGTAGAAATGCCCTCAAACATCTGTTTGCATATCAATACTTGTGCCCACAACCATTCATTAGACCTGTCAATGAGAGATGCGGTAAAGAAAGTGCAATTTGACCGACTGTGTCTCATCGGCAAGATTGTTCAACGGTGCCAGAGCAGCTGTCATTATGTACGGCTGTGACAACTTGTAGCAGCACCACTAATTCATCACGTTTCCAAAAACCATTGCGGTAAAATCTCAATCATCATTATTTTCAAACATCAGAAAGATGATCAATGATTCATTCATATCGCTCATGTACCATGAGATATCTGTGTTTTCTCATCTACAATATTTTGATTTCTCAAGGCTGCTGATGTCATACTTTTACCTTTGCTTTGGAGGTGTGGAAGGAGGCGGGCATGAGGTGGTAAGGAAAATGTGTGACCATTGCCCGTGGAGATGGCAACTGGTCCACCACCTCTGCCAGTCTTTTCTCCTCCAGCCAGGGGACCCTGTCCCAGTTGGGAATGGTTTGGATCGGTGTCAGATCGCCTCCATTCAGCAACAGTGGGAGGATCTCCTGCATCCAGATTGTACCTGCAGAGAAGAATAGAGCAGCAGATGATACATAAGAATACTGCTGCAAGTTCTGCTTTAAGGAAATGCACCAACAGCAAGGTGAAGCAACATTATATGGTCTGAATCAAGGGTTTTCAAAGTCTGACACTGTGGGTCCCCCCTCAGAGAAAATTAAAACAACTCTGTCCCCAAACACCTCCTACTTGAGCCCTGTTTTTAGTCTGTATCTGTATACATTTTAATGAAAGTATAAAAGTATGCCAAATTAGCAATTACCAAGTTCCTGTTTGCACTGTATGGATATACACACATTTATTACTGGATTACTTTGATACTGAAGAAAACATAAAAATGAAATGATTCTCAAGCAAGTTCTGGCATTATAAAGAGCAGCCTTGCTCTGTGACTTCTAAACAGATTTACAGATTTTCATTTGCAATTGACATTGAAAATAATAACGTCCTTCAAAAGCCTCTGTTCCCATGACCCTGGCTGGGAATGAGGTATGGAAAGTAAATCAATGAATGAGCAAAAGAGCACATTCCATTTCAAACGCACATCACGCTCACACACACTATGTGCTAGTGTTATCCTAATGAGGTTATACCCCTTGGAAACAGTTCTCAGTCTGCAACTTGTTTTTCTGTGAGAACTGATTGTAATGTGTGGAGGGCTCTACTCTGTGCAAACACACAATCTGAACCACGGAGGAAATGAATCAAAATCAACACAACAGTAGAGAAAAAAAAGACATTCTTTAAAGATATCCTGAAATCATTCGTAACTAATGTCAGAGTAGCTCACCAATGACTTTTAACATGCAAACAAGACTACTCATGGTTTGAGAGAATCACATGGTAGAGCTTAATTTAATTTAGTAGTGAAGTGACTACTTTCATTCACTTGCACTAGTGTTCCCACATGCTGGCTGGAGAGTAACTGAATGAAGAGTTTGGTTGACTGTGTGTAACCATTTGTGTTGTGCTGAGGCAGCAGACACAATGTGCAGTATCTGTGCCATATTTTTATTTTGCTAAAGTATTAACTAGAATTAATTTACCAGTTCACACATTGTTCCCATTACCTGAGGGGTGAACCACAAAGTGAGATTAGTGGCTTTAAAAAGCACCTTTCATTGCTCCTTTAAGTAGCGCCATACTATATAGTAAATATTCAATATATGAGTGATACAGATTGTCATCTGAGGGAATATGTTAGAAATCCACGTTATCTCTGGCTGAGGCTTAAGGGTTTGTTGAGCCAGCTCAGACAAAAAGAGCCTGGCTCTATTGAACTTGCTTTGTGGCACAGCCCTCTGCTCTCTAGAACATGTGTGTACTTTATATCAGCCATAACATGTAATGGTAAAATTAGGGAGGTGGCATGCTGCCCCCATATTCCAAGAAAAAAAGAAGAAAAAGCAGTTAAAGTGCGCTCTTTGATGTGACCTATGACAGATAAAACATGATGCAGTGCTCTCTAGGAAGGGCTGAATGATAAAACACACTCAAACTGACATTGTGATGTAATAGAACGCCATTTTTAAATCTCCAAAGTTGCAATAAAAACAAAAACAAAACAGAATTACCAAGTTATAATCAGTTATTCTCAAGTTGCACATACAATTTATTAGTGTAAAGTGTTTTTGCAGAACATTATGATGACACAGTGAAGTTGACCTTTGACCCTTTGGATATAAAATGTAATCACCTCATCATTATATCCTTTGAGACATCTGTGTGATGTTTTGTCAGAATTACATAGAAATTATTGAGTTATGGCCAGAAACATGTTTTGTGAGGTCACAAAGACCTTTGACCAATCACCAAATTCTAATTTGGTCATTCTTTAGTCCAAGTGGACGTTTGTACCAAATTTGATAAAAAGGCCAGCCACAGCTATCACTGGTGCAAAGGCATAAAAAACACACCGGGTCTTAAACAACTCATCCTCTGCACTTCGCTACGCTCCACCTGACAAATGTGACTGAGAGTATATCCAATCCAATCCAACTTTATTTATAAAGCGCTTTAAAACAACCACTGAGGTCCCAAAGTGTTGTACAGAGAAAATAAGAAGCACTATAAAATACACAATAGGTTGAAATGCACAGTTTGCATAATTAGAAAATAGAAAATGTGAAAAACACATAAAAACAACATCTTACACAGTGTTAAAAGCCAGGGAAAACAGGTGGGTTTTAAGAAGATGAAGAAAAAACTTGTAAAACGCCGCATGCAAGAAGGTTTAATGCTCACATCACTACTTTGTGAAAATGGCAAAGGCCAGGTTTGAGTGCAATCCATGTTTGCATATTACATTTTTTGCTGTTGTGAGCAAGTGTTGGGTCGAGCAAGAGAGAAAGCGTTATGGTCGATGAGTTGACAGCAGACCGGTGTCTGTGATCCGTGCGAAGAGCCCGTGTGCTTCCAGACTGTCACTTGGAAGCTGAAACAGGAACAGTTAACGGCTTGTTTACAATGAGGTAAGCAATACAGCCATAGTCCATGTGCAACCATTCTATAAGCATGATCTTTTCTTATAAAGATGCTCTTGGCTCTTCGGCCTACATGCATCCAAGTCCGACGCGCTACAGCGCTGTCAAATGTTTTAAAGTGACCATGAAATCCAAAACACTTCTCTCCTCTGGTTCAAAACGTTTATTTCCAAAAAACTTAGGGGTTTCTTACTGCATCATGGAGTGACAGACAGATCATATCGGTTCATTTCTTTCTTTTCCATCCATTCAAACAAAACAAAAAACAACACTTAGCAGCGGTCTAAAACTGTATGGCTGCGTGCCTGAAAACCGAGAGCTCTCCCGGCCCCAATAGCCAACACTAATATATCCCAGGTGCTGCAGTCACCTGTCTACAAAGAGGAGGCGGAGGTGAGAAATGGCATCAATTATGCATAGCAGCGAATAATCAAAATTAGCAACAATTCACAATTTCATAATTGTTATCAATTCAACTCATAATTCAAACCAGAATATTTCATGTTCATATCTCATAACCAATCAATCAAATAATAATAGCAAACTAGAAAAAATAAAATATTCCTCAAAACATAAATCAAGCATTTGGCTCCAACACATTCCTTGTTCACTCATCTCAAACGCAATGGCTTTATTGAATGGGTTTATGGTTAGATGCTTGAAATAAGGTTTGTGGTTAACACAAGCTCAAGAGACTTTCTTGTTTTGTTTTATGACATCAACAATGTGTCAGTAAATACCCCACTGGTGAATCTTTAAGCTTTTTTGTGTCTTTAAAAAGGTGGTTCCTAACAAGTGGCTAAATGATACTACAGAACATTATCATGCCAAATGCAGCTTTACAGCCTTGCTGTGGTGTCTTGAAGGCATGTGACCATGGTGTAGTTCTTTTATAGCCTAATGTTAGCTTCAAAAATCATTAAGTGGTGTTCATTTGTTAAGATTATCTTGCTGAATAAAACCTGCACATATCATAAAGTCTGGTTACCACTGAGCTTATTTTCTGCAATAATCCAAAATCCAAAGGAAAAATCCCACTGGCTCTTTGTCAAGGTGAATCAGGATGACACTAACTTCCATGTCAGCCAACAAAAAAATGCCATACGTGTAGCACTCTATTCAATCGCTCAATAAATGTTATTCATATCAGTTCATCTCATTTCATCCTAACACGCAGGTCTGGCCTACACAGCGGAGCAGAGAATATGTTGATTATATCCAGTGCTGTGCTGGTTATATTATGGAAACAATTTACTGCTTTTGTGTAGTGAATAATACAGAAGGTAAGCATTAAAAAAAATCATAATGAATTGCATTAGTCTTAAAAAAAATTGCAATTATATTCATTCAGTCATTCAGCCCTATACCTGCATGGTGCATTCCAGTGAAGAAACAAAGATGAAGTGCCCTTTTGGGGGACCTTAAAATTGAGAAAAGGTTATTCAGTGCCATATAGGCTGCCGTAAGTGTGAGAAAACTTTCTATGCACTGGTGCACCACTGTATGTAGCTTATGCCCTTTCTCATTTTTATTCCCTGCCCCTCAGACAGCCTGAGTCTGCCACTGCATATGTATTCTGAATTTGTGAAAAACAGACTATTATTCAGTTTGTATCCTCATTTGCTGTAAATACACTGTACCTGTCTTGGGGTACACCACAGCAAATACATCGGTTTCCTCCATGGAGAATGAGTCTCAGAGGGCATGAGAAAGCCACATTAACACATGTAATTGTCGGCGGACATGACTGTTCCCAGATCAAGGTCTTCAAGCAGATTCAGCAGGGTTGAACTTGTGGCAGTATATTTAGAAAAAGGCTGATGGAGGAATATCAAAGCTGACATCAACACCCCACTATTTCAGGAGTGAGGACACCACCAAGAAGCAAAGTTTCAACTGAACAGGACTACTATTTTATTTAATCCAAGACACTCAGTCATCTTCTGTTCACCAGAGGCAACATGATAGCTGCACAAGGTGGTTATATCAGAAATGGGCTTGCCACCTGCACACCTTCGTTTACACAATACTGCCGTCCTTCCTCCAGGAACGGATTGATTTGTGCCCTACTCAGTCAAAGGAGAGAGGACATGATCTTTTATCTTGTGCAAATTAAGCACACAGTGCAGTGTTTTTACTTGGCAGTATGGACTCAGGCTTCTTTGGTTCATGCTGGTGAATGATTTAACAAGTAGAACGTCAATCAGTATATTTTTCCATTGACAGAAAGTTCAGCAGCAGCTTTGCTTGATTTCTCTGTCTGATATTAACTTGGCCAAAGACTTGATATGTTGCCAATGATAGGAAGAATTACTTCACACATACTAAAAATCTTCTGTTTGACCTCCAGTGGTTCAAGTTCTTGCCTTGCTGCAGTGACATACAGGTGTACTCCAGCACACATCGCTGTTTGGTGTGTAACAGGTGGAACAAAGCACCCTGCTGACCACAGTGTCATTGGTGCAAATAACATGTAGTGATGATGTTAAAGCAACTCTTCCCCACCAAAGAGGGCAGTAAAACACTGCTTATCAGACAGATGTTAAGTTACTCTGTAAATAGCTTCTCTAATATGATGGTAAACTAAATATCAGCGGGATTCAGTTTGTTGGTCGGACAAAACAAACTATTTTCAGAAAGAATATGAAGCTCTGGTAAATGGTGATAGGCATTTTACAAACTATTTTCTGACATTCTCTGAATGATTACTAGTTAAAAGTACTGGACAAAGGTGGGACAAACTCATTGTTTTTCACAGTGTTGAGCCAAAAGCCATCTCACACCACCTTCATCTGATGCAAATCGCAATTGCTCAGCTTAAACAAACACTAGATACCATGACTGTATCAGCCCTGTTTTAGCCTCTCTTCGCTGGTAACCAGTCGGTTTTGAATTGAGTGAAGCTTATACTGATCACCTATAAGCATTTCAGGATTTTGGCCCCAACTACACTGCTGACATGCTGCTACACTATAAGCCAGGTCACAGCCTCAGATCCTCAGGCAGGGCTTCGCTGGCTGTTCCTCAGTCCCGCCTCAAAACTAAAGGTGACAGGGCTTTTGCGGCCGCACAGCTCTGGTACTGCCAGAGGGCCTGAGGCTGCTGAATCAGTGACATCTTTTAAATCACTTTGTAAAACTTGTCTATTCAAAAAAGCCTTTTATTAATATTATCATACTGTTTATATTAAACATGTCTTATTTGAATCTTATCTTGTTATTTGGGTATTGTATTATTTTTCTTTTGTATTATTCAAGTCTCAGTACAGTCTTTGCTTATCTGTTTCATTGGTGATATGTGCTTCCTGCATTGCTTTAAAACCTGGTTCAACCATGTAAAGCACTTTGTACCTCTGTCTCGAAAAGCTTATTATGAATAAATTCAGGCTCTTGCAGCTGTGCAGCTGTGCAGTGACCTATGGATGTAACTCACAGGAGGTTTCTTTTTTTTCCACTTTATTTATTAGTTTTCACAGTCGAAAATGAAACATTATATATATATAGATACAAGAACAAACTTTTCTCCCACCCCACCACCCACCCCAGGGGACAAGCAGAAAAAATAAAAATAAAAAAATAGATACAGGAGGTTTCTTTTTGAACAGGAAGCTTTCTAATGACTCCTCTCCTCTCTTTTAAAACTAAGACTTCTACGCCTCTTGGACTCATAGCTTGTTGGGCATGTCTAAAGCATGACGTGTAAAATATTGCAGCATTCCGCACATTCCCAAGATAGAGTCTAGTACAGAACACAACACTTATTTAACTCAAAGCTGGGACAACAAAAAAAAAAAAAGTTAGATAGACTAGACTATGTTTCTGTCATGACTCTGCACTGATACCTATTTTATACAGTCTATGGGTGAGACAAGAGCAACTTGTGTCTGACAGTTGTTGTTATTGTTACAGAACACTGACCTGACTTCGGATAAAGGACGCCGATGACGTCATCGTCTTTCAACGTGAATTCTTCCGCAAACTTGAAGCTCTCCACAGAGTGAGTCTCTTTGGGAGCAAGAAGTCCATTGTACAGCAGATACTTTCCCTCAGAAGACATTTTGCTTCATGTGGGATAAAGTTCAGATAACAAGCCGAGATTAATCTCACGAGATCACAAGAAGAGGAAGATCCTTTCCTGCTGCGTTCTCGTATATGGGAAAAGTCGCAACTTAGGCTACTGAAACTTCACGACCCCTAATCTTAAACACAAATTATTTAGATATGTACTGCATCTCTTTGATGAATATCCGATTAGTGAAGCGTTCATTTTGTTATTATACATGAGCAAAACCAACCGACTGCACAAAACCATTTTAAATCAAACAACACAAATATATACCCCAACTTTCCAAGAGTGCCCTGAAGGTAGCACCTTGCTCCCACATGCAAGGCAAGGCAAGGCAAGGTAATTTTATTTATAGCACCATTCATACACAAGGCAATTCAATGTGCTTTACAAGAGAAATACATTAAAATAAAACATTAAAGGAACAATAGATCATTAAAAACAAAAGCTAAAAGCAAGACAATAAATAGTTAAAAACAGTGCAGAAAATGCATTTAAAAAGCAAATATAAAGCAAAAGCAACAGCAGACAAATATAAAAACAATAGCTACAGATTATCCTAACAATAAGTTACATATCTAGTTCACTGGTAAGCTGCAGTAAATAGTAATGTTTTAAACCCTGATTTAAATGAGTTGACAGTTTCAGCCGACCTCAGATATTCTGGAAGTTTATGGCAAGCCGTTTTAACATTTAACTGAAACTTAACTTATCGGGGGAAATGGACACTTAAACATACATTAGCGTGATAATAACTACCTAAAATAACAAGAAACGTGTTTGGAGAAATTTTTTTTTTTTTCCCTTTGAGTTGTTAGTGTCCCTAGTAGTTATTATCACGCTAATGTATGTTCAAGTGTTCATTTCCCCCGATAAGTTGGTTTTAATTCGTTATTTGATTCTATGAACACAGTCTGACCATCTTGAGCTTTTCTTTTGGTACTTCCGGTGACCGACAATGTGAATTTGCATATTAGCTAAATATTTAGTTTCACCCAGAACATTTAGATTTAACATTTTACATTTAGACTTAGATTTAGCATTTAGATTTAACATTTAGATTTAGATTTAATATTTAGATTTAACATTAATATTTATATTTATATTTAGCATTTAGATTTAACATTTAGATTTAGATTTAGATTTAGAATTTAGATTTAATATTTAGATTTAGATTTAGCATTTAGATTTAACATTTAGATTTAGATTTAATATTTAGATTTAACATTTAACATTTAGGTGCCACATTTAATATTTAGATTTAACTATTTAATATATTTCTAAGTTAACAAATATTGCTTTAAATGTGGTAAAAGGTGACGTTAAAAAATTCACAACACTTTTTTAAACATTGTTTGAAACTAAATGTGGCAAAATGTTGATGTTATTTTTAGCGTGAGCCACTTTACAAACGGCACCCCATAGAATACTGCAAGATTTTACACGTCATGTTAAGTTTTAGACATTTTGCCCAACAAGCTATGAGTCCAAGAGGAGTAGAAGTGTTAGTTTTAAAAGAGAGGAGAGGAGTCATTAGAAAGCTTCCTGTTCAAAAAGAAACCTCCTGTATCTTTTTTTTTATTTTCATTTTTTTGCTTGTCCCCTGGGGTGGGTGGTGGGGTGGGAGAAAAGTGCCAATCGAATTGACAGCTGGGTGAGGATCGTCTTGGGGGTCGAATTCAACTGAATCATTCATCCGCCATGGTCGATTCACCGGCATAGATGCGCTGCGTTATCTGGGAGCGGAGACTCCAATGTTTGGGTAAGATGATGTGATTCAGTTGAATTCCACTCTCAAGACGATCCTCACCCAGCTGTCAATTCGATTGAGACTAACTAACTCCATACTCTAGGGCACCCAAACACAGCCACTGAAATTATCATTTCATAAATCCTATACAGACTTCGATACTGAATCAGGGTGAATTTCCGTACAACATGCTCATGCCGTTTAAAATGTATATCTCCCAGGGACTGGTCGAACAGCTGAAAAGTCTAAACCATTACACCGTACCTGACTTGGGGTAAGTCACAGCAAACACGTCGGTGTCTTCCACAGAGAAGTTTTGCGCGTACTCCAAGCTCTCCGCGCTGTGCGCCTCAGATGGCAGGAGAAACCCGCCGTACTCAATGTACTGGGGTGACGACATGATGATTGTGGCCGGCTCAAGAGTTTAAAGCTGCGCAAGGAACTGGATAACCTACGCGCTGCTCCTTCCTCTCTCCCTTGCTGCCTCTCTGAGGTAGTGTGGGAGTTTCTTCTGTTACATATGGTCACGTTTCTCTGAGCCTTCCTTTCTTTCTACATTTTTATGAATTTAAACTCTGTGCTGCAAACAATCAGGGGCCAGATGCATAAACGATGTGTAAGCACAAAAACTACTCCTATGCCTTTTCCACCACACATAATCTGGTATTTATAAAGGAAGACTGTGAGGTGATTCATTGGTCATGATTCCTCAGACCAGAAAAATGCAGCCTACTACGAAGCCAGTTCAACTTACCAAGGATATCTTTTACTATCTGGCCCTAACACTGTCAGTCTGAAAAACCGGCATCATGAAGCTGGTTATCAGTTATCAGTTCAGCCACAGCACGTCCACGTGTTCCTATGATGAGATGAAACGATATGGGGGAATGTTTGGTTTTGGGGACAGTAAAAGGTCATCAGTGTGAAATGTAAAACACTGCCTGAACTAACTACTCTGATTATGTCACATAAAACACTTTAAAGTGATACCAGACTGTTTCTGATAGCAAAATGAAGGGTGGGAATGTAGTTCATGACTGATGGGGTCCATCTGTTGCATTAATAATAGTGGGAGTCAGTCAGTGATAAATCATAATCTTTTTTTTCTAGTTCTCATCACACAGGTGTCTCATGTTATTTTTTTAAAATCAGTTGCAATGAAATTATTCTTCTGACCTATAACAATATATATGCCCACTCTTTTAATGTCACTCCGGACTTTTGTCCATGTTGGGATATTTCTTTTTCCAGTGATCTGATGGTCAGTGGTGTTGACGGGTCGTGATGCGCTACTTTGAACGGCCAACCTGTTCCAGAGCAGGTAAGCTGTCCAGCGTAAGTTACCACAGTGATTTATCCTGGTAATAAGAGAACCAGCTTCATAGTTCTTAAAACCCTGAAGTCACACCACTAACTCCAAATCTTGCTTCATAACACAGGCCTCAGGCATACACGCCTTTTAGCTGAAATAGCTGTGGGTGAAATAATAAAGAGGATATTGAATATAAATTGAGAGACAGATAACATTGTTTTTAAGTTGTTTGCCAGTTGCACTGATTGTGGAAACCAACTGCAAAGAGATGCAAAATAACTACAGAGAGGGGCAAAGCAGGCACAAAGAGATGCAAAATGACCAAAAAGACACAAAATTATATCAAACAGACCCAAATGACTCCAAAGAGCTGCAAAACAACAAAATAAGAGGCAAAACCACCCAAAAGTCTGTGTGTCTTGCTCCTGTTGGCTGGACCCTTTTTTCATCATCTCATGTTCCGTTTCTGGCCCCAGCTGTTTTCTTGCTCAGGAGTTTGGTCCTCCACATGACCATGAGGGCCAGGTTTAAAGGATTGGTATGCACAATCATTTATTTTAAATGTGCGGGTGCTTTGGGATCTGCACTCTCAAAAGTCTCCTCTGTGTAACTCTGGGTATCTACGATTTGTTTGAGGAGGTGCTAAGAAACTTATCTTGACACAAAACGTTGCTGTGATTCCATGTTAATGCATTCCTGGAATGGAAATAATGGTGCTCCTAATGTCCAGCACGCCCATACTATTAATCCCATAAAGTGTGCATAAACATGCACGGGCCTGGGTTGGTACCACCCTGATCCTGAAGTCACACTTGTCTTATTTCCACTGAAATTCACGAGGGCATGGCTCATGTTAGTGTGTCACTGCAGCCATCTCTCTCTCTCTCTGACTAACGAGCGTGATTTTTGCAGCAACGGCACAAGCAGCAACAGTAAACAGAGAAGGTAGTGTGCATGTGTATTAGGTAACAGCAAAGCCTATTGTGGCATTTCAATAATGACAGCTTTGTTGGACTCCAGGGACCCCAGCTGAGAGAGGAGGAAGAGAGAAGCAGAGAGTGCAGGCAGAGTGAGCTACACTAACACAAAAGGGGCAACAGGGGAAAAACATGAGGTGTGATTACAGAGGAGGTGTGCTGTGTGAAGAGAAGGTAGAATATAAAATATTTGGAGCATAACCCTTGTGAATTTAACTAGCTTTATTTACTACACATGCTTGGAGTTGAATTTGATTGTGTCAGAAATTTTTGCTGCATCCCCCTCTGTTATGAACCATTCTTCCTGTTGCAACAACTTTTGTGTAATCCGCTCCTCACCTTTCTAAACACAAAGATGTTTCACTGGATTGCACGTCTATTAAACTCTTTGTCTCCCTCTTTATTGTGTTTTCATACCCTCTCTCCCTGGAGTGCAATAGTAGAGGTGTGGGAACAGAGTGAGAGCATTTTACTACATGGCAGCAACAAAGCAATTGTACGACTTTGTGCACATAGGGTTAAACATCTAAAATATTGCTAATTAACATCGGTAAAATACACCTCGTCTGACACATCTGAGATTCAGCATTAGTGGATTTAAAGGACAGGAGAGGGAGGGGAATACTCCTAATTCGTTAAAGGACAGCCAAAGCATTTAGGCTGGCTCACTGGATGATACTGTTACAAACAAAGAGAGTCTACACAAACAATTTAAAGGAGCTATATGTAAGAAATCTAAAGCAAATAGTCATAAAATCCTCCTAATATGGCACAGAGACTAAGGAATAATGTTCATATAACATACTGATCTCATCGACAACAATAGTACGGCCATAATATTCGCATTTAAAAAAAAAATTTACTGTCCACAAATCATGTTTATGTTTTGAATTTGTGTTTTGGCCTGTTGCGCCACTCACCGCCGTCTACCAGTCACACAGTCAGTAGAGTCTCAGCATCATTTACAGTTACGACTGAGCTACAGCAGCACGGCAAGCAGCATTAGCAGTGTTCCAGTACATAACATTAGCAGCCGGCTCCTCCTCAGCTGTATCCCGGCAGCAGCGTTAGCAGCAGAGAAGCCGGACTTGCTTGAACGGTTCGCTGGAAAACCGAAGATCAAGGACGCGGCGACGCAGCCCTGCCACGGCAGCCGCCCGTGGGCAAACAAATCAATCTCCAGCGTGCCGCTGTCCAGCAACCTCAAATCTGTAGGGGAGGGGGGACGGACACGACCCGCGGCAGTATTTTGAATTTGAGTGCAGTAACCATTTTGGCCACATTCTTACATACAGCGCCTTTAAGGTACAAACGTGATTTATTTAATTAAACCTACTTCAAAATAAGGAAGTAAAGCATGTTGTCGTGTCGTGAGTGGCTGCAGTGTGTGTGTGTGTGTGTGTGTGTGTGTGTGTGTGTGTGTGTGTGTGGAACAGAACAAATGAAACAAAGGCAAAACAAAGTACACCATGTTGGCCATGCAGCAGTCAGCTGCTCAGTCAGGGGAGAGAGAATGAGAGAGAATGAGCAAGCTGACAACTGAGGCCTTTTTATAAGGTGAGACCACACCCTTAGGTGTGGCCAGGAAGATTGGAGGCCCGCCTCTTCAGCCACAAGGAAGAGCTGTGAAGGAATAGACACATTAGTAAGGCCATCACACCCCCACCCATAAAAATGAGGCCCCAAGGGTGCCTCAAAAGCTGAACCATACAATACCATATTATATAATACAGGGACATTTCAATAGTTCTCTCGTCTTACCGGAACAGCCCAATCCACTTCCAAACCACTCACCCAACCCACACCCACTCAGCAACCCGGTACCTGGAGAAACAGATTCAGAGCAGGAGGGAGAGAAGAGTAGTTCAGAGCAAAAAGGGACACCTGGTAAAACACAATAGAGAGGAATTGCACGAGACAATGCATCAGCCACAACATTTGCAGAGCCTTTAATGTGGCGTATGTCAAGGTTAAATGGCTGCAAGAACAAACACCAAGGCATCAGCCGTTGATTTGGGTTTTATTGGGAATGCAAGAACGTCAAGGGCCAGTGCCTCCTTGATTAATTCCAGTTTGTAACGCTCAAACTCCTGACACTTTTTCCTGCTGCAGCTCAGCTTCACGTAACTTCACATTACATTTCAACCTCTCCATTTCCACAGCATGCTCCTGTGCAGGAACAGCCTGGTCTTGTTCCATTTCCAATTTATGCTGCAAAATCAACAGTTCTTTTTGTTGTTCAAAAGTTAAAGTCACCCCAATCCTGGCTAAAGGCCTCAAACTTTTGAGACAGCTCTGGTTGACTGACCTGAGGAGAAATTTCACTGGCTGACTGGGTGTCACTACCTTTTCCTGCAGCAGACAAAACCCCCAACTGAACCAAGCCATCCTTTATTGCACACAAAATATGATCTTTATGTCCCTGACTGGGGATTCAACGCCAAAATGCTCTGCCACCTTTACCAACCGATCCTTGGTGTAAGTCTCCAATAGACCTTCACTGGGATTCTGCACAAAATCTTTAATCGCAGACATGATTGGAACAATAGCTGGCCCACACAAACCAAATACTTACACCTGACACTCTAGGCTAACCTGCCCCAAACTGACCACAAAAGTTTACTACCAACCCGATGTGACAGCCACAATGTGGAACGTCCTTCCCCCTGGCGAACTATCTACCCGGGAAACTAGCTGTTTGTCTCAACCCTAGACTTCATGCAATAGCGCTGGTGGGAGATTTAAACACCTAGCCCAATGACCCGGCCAGGCAACCATTAAAATGGCAACCTACCTAGACAATCACGGAAGTGTACCCAAAGCAAAAAAAAATGCTGTGGCCATACTAATGCACAAAAGCAACAAACTAAAACAAAAAACAACAAATCCACTGATGGATGTTGTTTTAATACCTATCGGGGAAGTAGTTCCACTGACGAGGCTGTTTTATTCACACCAGATCAGAGGCAAACACAAAAATAAGGCAGGTTAACAAACACCTACAGGTGTAACCACCTGAGCCTGAAATCCAAGCCACACTGACTCACCACATATGTACCATTAAGCTACTGCTACAAAGTAGCAATCACTGTCTCTTACTCACCACAGTAGACAATTCATCCTGGACGAGCCCCCATTTGTTACAAACTTGGCTCACAGTTTGCAACAAAAGAGAGTCTACACAAACAATTTAAGGTACAAAGGTGATTTATTTAACTAAACCTACTTCAAAATAAGGAAG